TAATTAAAAATTAAGATTTTTTTTTTGAATTTACGAAAGTATTATTTTATTGAAAAGTATTTATTTGAAAATAAGAGAACAAAATGTATTTTTAAAATAATGGATACTCATTTCCACTCATAGGCAAAAGCATGCCCAAACGTAATAATTATAAAGGGAAAATTGATGCAACATTTTTTTATAAACATTACCTTAGCCTTCAATTTGTGCCACCAGCGATCTCAACCTTTCAAAAATTAGCACATACAATCCAAATGGATCGTTAGTTGACCAAGAAAATATGTTTTGACCGAATCTAAAGAGTATAAAATGGTAAATTTGTCTGATAGGCAAAATGTTGTCTAACGGCCTCCCGGACAATGATGTTAATCATTATTTATTCAATCGACATTGACTAATGACTGAAGTGAAACTTCAACACCACAACTGTAACGACCTAAACATATAACATATTCGGGCAATTTGAAGTTGTCTAATTTGATTAGAGTTGCTCATGGCCCTACATATTACTTCTTGGATGGTTTTGGTTGATAGCTCGTTCATTCATTACCTATTAACTCTTGGGTCTCACTAATGTTTAACCTAAAAACCCACTTATTTCTTATATATGTTGGCTCCCGTCTTTTGCCTTGGCAATGTGTAAGAAACGTTATTTGTTTGACTACCCCTTGAGAGAATCCGGTTCCATTTCTTTTGGCTTTGTTCTTCCTGTTTGTAACGTCTTCTCCATCTCTCTTTCAGCCTGTGTGGCTATTATTGTAGCTGCAATAACAGTTCAGACTGTGTCATTTGTGGGCAATGCCAAGCAACCAGAGTTAAGGGTGGTTGTATGAGTGTTTGGGTCTTGTCACCTTGGTGGTGTCTATTTGGTATTGTGTGGAATACTGAGCTCGGAAACTTTGGTGTCAATATTAAGCTCAACATTTGGTATCAGAGCCTTGGTGGCGTGGTGTGAAAGTTTCGGCCAAGACCAAAAACCGGCAAGAAAAATAGATCAAAAAAATCTGTTCAATTTTTCATCTCCAATCGAACCTGTAATCGCATTTTCTGGTCAAACCAGTAGTTGTTTGAAGAATCCAATACCACAGGGAGAATCTACAGGTGGAGGCGCTCCTGGGTCCACCGTGAGCAGTGGTGACGGCCTCCGGCAGCGGTGCGTGCAGGCGCATCCTACGTAGTCTAGGAAACTTTCTTCAAATGGTATTATTCTAACGAGATTTTTAATGTTTTTGTGGTGTTAGTTTTCTGTTTCAAGTGATACGGTGAAATCTGAACAAACTTTGCCCCTGCGCATTTGTGATTCAATTTTGCATTCAATCGGTTGCAGGAGACTTTAGACCGAATAGTGGTGGCCTTAAAGTATTAAATACATATTTCTCGTTATTTTCGAACGCATATAGGTCCGCTCTGGTAAATTGACTAATCTTGTTTAATTTTCAGCACTAGCGCATCATCATGTGGAGTAACAATATGGTTGGAATTACCATGTGGGGTAACCATTGCCCGTGCTAGAAATTAGGAACTACTTGCCTTTACTTGCTACGTAAGTAAATTATTTATTTGATAAATTTCAGTATATTATCTCTGTGATATGCTGCGCGTGAAACTGTTTTGGTTGACACATCTCTTCTTGCACTGTTAACTCTCTAGAATACCTAGAACTTACCCATTTGAATATTCTCTTCATTTAAGATCAAGAATCTTATGAAACCATGAGAATCTAAAACGGTGTATATTGTTTGCAACCCTAGGTCTACTTTGTGTGGTTTAATTTTGATTTTGTATTTTTGATTGATTATTAATAACAACTCACAATTTTGATTTGTGAACTTTTAACAGAAAATGTGATCTTTCAATCTGGCAACAAAAAATGTGAGGTATTTTGGTTCAACAAAAGGTTTCAAAAGCCATTGATAGCAATTTTCTCGCTGACTTTTCAAAAGACCAAAAAAAAGAAGCTGATGAGTTTGCTTACACCTCAATTATTTTACACTTGTGTAACGCAGTTTTGAAAAAAATGGGTAAACTAAAAATCACTAAAGAACTTTAGAAAAAGTTGGAAGACTTGTATTTGCTCAAATCTACTACGAACAAGCTTTACTTGAGCGTTTTTTAAGTTTTAAAATGGATTCTTCAAAAAAAAAATTGATGATAATTTAGAGGTGTTTAACAAATTTGTTCAAGATATTGTTAACTGTAAAGAATCATTGTCTGATACATATAAGACTATTATTATGCTGAATTCCATACCCGATACTTATAAGTAAAGAATGTTATTAAGTATGGTAGAGACACTTGGACGCCTGAAATTGTCATTTACTCTCTTAGACGTAAGGAGATGGAGATTAGAGCTGAAAAACATGATAAGAAAAGCGGTGAGATTCACATGATGAGGGGTAGAACTCAATTTAGGCAAAACAGTCATAATAGTTACCAAAGTAATGGCGGGTCAAGTAGTAATAGAGGTATAAAGAATGGTAAAGGTAGATCTAGATCCAAATTTAGGACCAAGGTTAAGAAATGCTATGGTTGTGGAAATTCATGACATTTTATAAATGATTATTATAAAGAGAAAAGTAAGCAAAAAGGTAAAGAGAGAGATGAAGTAAATGTATTGTCTTCTATTTCCGATAGTGGTGATAGTGAGGTTTATATGATTACAAGTCATATTACTTATCCTGCTGAATTGAATTGAATTGAATTGCCAATTCCCATTTGCATTAATGAATACTTGATTCTTGTGCATCTTTTCATGTGATATCACAAAATGATTGGTTTAAAATTTTGCATGAATCAAAGATGGGCATGTTGTGCGGTGTGACAATTCTACTTATACTGTTATTCGAATTGGTGATATTACCTTAAAGTTTGACGTTGATTTTGTGTATACTTTTAAAAAATGTTAGATACATCCCTAAATTGTCTAGAAATTTAATTTCAGTATAAAGACTTGAAAAATCTGACTTCACTGGTAAAATTCGAAATGAAATTTTAAAATTGGTTATGTGTGCACTTGTCTCTATTAAGAGATTCAGGAAAATTGATATTTATATCACTATTCGGGAAGTAATGAGAGATTTAAATTCGTCCATCTCTTCTGCTAAGGCCGATCACACACATAAATAGTACAATAGACTAGCACATGTGGATATTAAGGGAATTAGACTTCTTAATGAAAAACGTACATTTGGAAATGACCGTGCGTCTGATTTATCTTTATGTGACCATTGTATGCTTGGTAAACATCATAGAACTATTTGTTTCACGAGTATTCATAAAACTAAAGGCATGCTTGAATATGTGCATTCAGACTAATGAGATCCCTCTAGTAGTCCCACCTCAGGTTAAAATAGGTACTTTTTATCTATCATTGATGATTACACTAAAAAAGTGTGGGTTTATCTCTTAAATGATAAATCTAATACTTTCCATAGTTTTAATATTTGGAAAAGACAAGTTGAGAACCAAACTGGTAAAATGATCAAGTTTTTGAGAACTGATAATGACCTAAAATTTTGTAACACTGAATTTGATAATCTGTACAAAGAAAATGGGATAACATGACATAAAACTGTTCATTACACTCCCCAACAAAATGGGGTAACGGAAATGATGAATAGAACTATACTTGATAAAATGTGTTGCATGATGTTAAGTTCTGGAGTCCCAAAGTCTTTTTGGAGAAAAGTTGTTATGACTGCTTGTTATCTGATTAATTTGACTCCATTTGCTGCATTGAATGGTGATATTCTGTATGAAAAACGATTTGATAAACTAAGTTATTATTCTATACTTAGAACTTTTGGCTGTGCTGCTTTTTCTCATCGGAGTGAAGGAAAACTCGAACCTAGAGTTAGAAAATGTATTTTTCTAGGTTACCCTGAAGGTGTCATGGTTACAGATTGTGGGCTAGGAGCCAAAAAGGGGTAAAGATCATTGTGAGTAGATATGTTACAATGAGAGCGAAATGCCGTACCTTTAAATTGAATCTGAATATGTGAGTGAAAAAGAACAAGGTGAAAAAAGAAATTAGTCGAAGGTGGACTTAGGAAAACTTAGAACATCCGTCCCCGTTACACAATTTGGGGTGGAGAATCATGATCAACAACATGATACAGATAATAGAGAGGAAAGAACATCCTGAAGAAGAGAATTCTTTAGCAGATTATAATTTAGCTAGGGATAAAGCGATGAGACAGTCTAAAGCACCTATAAGATTTGGAGTTAGATTTTGCTCATGCGAACTATGAGGAGTTAGTTGATAAAGAGCTAAAAACCTTTGAGGAGGCGATGAAAAGTGAACAATCTAAAGAGTGGTTTAAGGCAATGAAAGATGAGATGAGTTCTTTAAAAAAGAATCAAACTTGGGAACTAGTACCTAGACCTAAGAATAAATCCACTGTTGACTGTATGTGGGTATTCAAGGTAAAGGAGGGTACTAGCGCATCTGAACCCTTAAGATTTAAGGTTAGATTAGTGGCCAAGGGGTACACTCACATTTGCATTGGTTGCACATTTTGACTGGAAAATTGAACAACTTGATGTAAAACTACTTTTTTACACGGTGAACTTGATGAACAAATCTTTATGAATTAATAAAAAGGTTTTAAAGACAAACTAAAACTGGATCATGTGTACTTCTTAAAAAGATCTTTATACAGTCTAAAATAATCACCTAGACAATGGTATAAAAAGTTTAGGGTGCGTTTGATTGCAAGGGTGGAAAATGGATGGAAATAAAATGAATTCCAGGGAAAATAATTGCCAAGAAAATATTTTGCAGGGAATTGTTAATTAGTTGTGTTTGATTGGTATAATTTCCACCTAGAAAATGCTGAGATTTTCAATCTTTTGGTGTTTGATCGACTTTATTTTTCATGGAAAATTATGATAATTTGTGAGAAGCTATCAAACTTGACAAAAAATTTTCGACAACATCCGTCATCCTCCCGCACGAACGCCGCCTTTACCTCCCAGCCTCCTCCTACTCCACCACCAGCAGGTCCAGCACTTCTCCACCTCTTCTCCACCACCTGCACTTCACCACTTCTCCACCACCAGCTTCATCCCACCACCTGCAATTCACCACTTCTCCACCACCTGCACTGGAAGCCCAACTCTACCAGCCAACTCTCCACCACCAGCTTCATCCCACCACCGCCCAACTCCCCCACCGTCCCAATTCCTGCCGCATCAATCCAGGTGCTCCACCAATTCCTCCACCATTAATCCCACCACCGCCCAACTCCCCCACTGTCCCAATTCCTCACGCAGCAATCCAGTTTCTCCACCAATTCCGCCACCATCAATTGAACCTTCGACCAACTCCCAACCGTCCCCAATTCCTCCCGCATTAATTCAGTTCCACAAATTCCTCCACCATCAATCCCACCTCCGACCAACTCCCCAACAGTCCCTTCGCCCCTTCGCCCACCGTCCCTTCGACCCAGTAACTCGCCCACCGTCCCTTCGCCCACCGTCCCTTCGCCCCATTCTGGGTCTCACCATCAAAGCGTCGAACTCTGGGTCTCCACCTTCCCCCCTTCGCCACCCATACCTGGGTATTATTCGCCTCGCCCTCGCCCTCGCCGTCGTGGAAGACCCAAACGCCTTCCAGATTGCTCTCTGCCTCCACCACCGGGCACAAATGTGATTTCCACCTTGGGTGGAAAATATAAATCCAGTAGATGTTGAGGAAAGTGTTTTCACGATTTTGGGGGAAAATCAGGCGCGTGAGGGAATTTTGGGAAAATGTTTTACCTGGAAAAATAGAGCTATCAAACACCTTTAAAAGTGGGAAAAGGAATTTATTTTCCATTTTCCATGGAAAATAAGCCCTATCAAACAGGGCCTTAATTCTTTTGTATTATCTATAGGGTTTCAACGGAGTAAGTTAGATCATTACATATATTTCTAACATAATGATACTAATAATGACTGTGTTCTTATTGTTATATTTGGATGATATGCTCTTAGTTGGTTCATCACCTAAGTGGATAAGTAATATAAAAACAAATTTGAATAGTAAATTTAACATGAAAGATCTAGGAAAAGCTAAAAGAATCCTATGTATGAAAATTGAAAGAGATATGTCAAATTCTTTATTTTTTTTACATCAGTCATCTTATGTTTCAAAGGTGTTAAAGAAATGTGGTATGCATGATTGCAAATCTGTTTCATTACTTTTGCTAATCATTTTGCATTATCTAAAGACCAGACCCCTGTAATGAAAAAGAAATAAAATACATGAGTAGAATCTCATACTCAAATGTGATAGGTTCTGTTATGTATTTAATGGTATGCACTAGACCAAATTTAACTTTTGTTGTTAGCACTCTTAGTAGATACATGTCTAATCCTGGTCCTGAGCATTGGGAGGCCTTGAAATAGATTTTGAGGTACTTAAAAGGAACTAGTAATGTAGGTCTAAAGTTTGGTGTTAATAAGAAGGGTGTGAAATTGAAGGGTTTTGTAGATGTTGACTATGTTAGGGATAGAGATAATAGAAAATCTACCTCTTCTTATGTGTTTACTCTGTCTAACTCTTGTGTTAGTTAGAAATCATAGTTACAACACATAGTAGCACTATCCACGATAGAATCTGAATACATCGTTACCACTGAAGCTATTAAAGAAGTTTTATGGCTTAGAGGGCTTCTTCATGAACTTCGTGTTTTAACTGATTATGTGGTACTATATTCTGATAATCAATCTTTTATATATTTATGCAAAAATTATGTTTTTCACGAACACACCAAACACATTGATGTTAGACTTCGTTTCATTAGAGATATTGTGCCACAAGAAATTGTAAGACTTGAGAAATTACATGCACAATATAATCTCTCAGACATTGGCACTAAGGTGCTACAAGTGGTGTAGTTTAGAAGTTGCAAAGATCTTCTAAATATCGATGGGGGTAAATAATTTCTAATTTTATCGGTTCTCCTTTTCTGAATTATTGCTAACGTGTAATAATTTTTTCTTTGCAGGTTCTTTGACACTAAGGTGGATGTTTGTTAGGAAAATTCTAGTCAAACGACTTCTCGGGCAATGATGTTAATCATTATTTATTCAGTCGACATCGACCAATCACTAAAGTGAAACTTCGACACAACAATTGTAACGACCTAAACCTATAACATATTTGGGTCATTTTAAGTAGCCTAATTTGTTTAGAGCTACTCATGGCCCTACCCATTATTCCTTGGATGACTTTTAGTTGATGGCCCATTTATTCATTACTTATTAACTCTTGGGCCTAACTATTGTTTAACCTAAAAGCCCACTTATTTCTTATATATACTTGCTCCCGTCTTTTGCCTTGGTAGTGTGTGAGAAACGTTATTTGCTTGCCTATCGTTTGAGAGAATCTAGATGCATTCCTTTTGGCTTTGTGCTTTCTGTTTGTAGCGTCTTCTTCATCTCTCTTTCAGCCTTTGTGGCTATTATTCTCACAAAATTGCTCTATGATTTGTTTTGATTTAGTGAGTTGGTAAGATGAACAATTCCATTTTTATTTTTATTTTTGTTTTAATTGTTTCACGTGGAATAATGACAAATTCATCATTTTATCCTCTTTAAATTTAGTCAAAACACAATTTCTTGATCAACTAACGGTCAAATGGATGGATTTCATCTATTTGGGCCCCACATGCTAATTTTTTAAAGTTTTGGGACCGTTGGTGGCATAGACTAAAGATTAAGGTAAAGTCTACAAAAAAATTCAAAAGTTTGGAATCGCTGCTGCAATTTTCCCTTGGCTAGATATGTCCTTTCCACTGAACCCCAGATGTGACTCCCTTCTCTCAACCTCACCCCTCTTCCCTGCCCTCACAAAAGGTTCCATTCTTTACACCAAGGTTTGGAATCAGAGATTCACTAAACTCGTCTAGTTACCAAAAAGGCATATTAGTCAAAAAGAAGATGACAGCAAAATTAAGGTTTAAAATAGAGCCCACTAAAGGATTCTGTTTGGAGGAGACATTTCAGAATCTATCTGACGTTTGAGTTCTGCAAAATGGAATTGCAATAAATCTGGGCAGCTGCTATGCTGGTGATTTGCCAAGACTGTATGTTATTTAGGAGATTAGGCTGAGACCTGCACAAATAACTTACATAAAGGACTGATGTCAATGGCAGTACTCCACAATGCAAAATTTCATTTTCTTTTTCAATTGATCATTTGCCAAGGCTAAATTTTCCATGCAAGCATATAAAAGGAAGCTTACCTATGAAATTCTGTTAACATATAATTATTTGCCTAATTTCAACAAGAGAAAAAAAAAAAAAAAAAAGGAGTGTCTATTGCAAACGTATTTATAAGTCGAACAATAGATGAAAGCAGCAGCAAATAAAAAAATCAACAACAGCAAACATCAACAAACATAAGATAAATTTAATCAAAGTCGATGAATTAAATTTGGGCAGTCACACGCGAAAGTGATAAAAGCAATAAATTTTTCAAAAACTTAAACCAAAACCATGAAAAGGGTTCTTACAAGAGAATATTTTTGTCCACCCTCAAAAGCCGTCTTCTGCTGATCGACAGCCTCAGTATAGAGTAGAGAGAGATTACTAGCAGCATTAAGGAAAATTGTGAGCAACTCTTTATCGTTCTCATCAACCACAGTGATATCCATTTTTCTCTTCTGTGCCATTTTTCATTTTCCCCAATTAATTTTCTGGCTTCTCTTGAAGACCCCACAAAAAACCTGAACACGGCTCGCGTAAGAATTAACACATGTAACTCGATGCAGATATAGGGGCACCATCGTGTTTAATGTGTACTTGAGAACATGTATAGTAACGATTGTCCGTTTGAAAAACTGGAAGTTCAACCAAATTATAATCATGCTATCTCTCACTCTCTCTTTTTTCTCCTCGTGGTATATGTGAATACTTGTGAAAGGGATAAAGGGTCAGTATGCAGGTTACAATGCGGAGGAAATAAGATTCAAAAGTTGCTGCTATAATACTTCTAAAATATTTTGACATCAGTTCTTACATTCCTTTTAATCCAAAGCAACTCAAAAATAAATTTTATCATTGAAAAACCTAATTTCACTTTTATGTTTTTAAGCAAAATACGAGCACAACCTCCTAAAATTTTAGGCTCTACTAGGGAAAGCTGATGGGAATTTGAATTTCCCAATTGTAAATATAAAATCAAACTCATGAAAATAAGAGGAAGAGAGACATAAACCAGACCTTCCAAAGGAGAAGAAATGCAACAAATGAAGGAAAGAAATAAGAGTGGAAGTACTACTTCCAATACAAAAATAGTGAGAATCAAGCTAATATCATCTAATAATAAGAAGTCCATATCTATCAATCTATATAAGGGCTCGAAGTCATCGATAGGTCAAAAGGTCCACACTCCTTACAATGGTGCCGGTCCCAACCCTCGAATGCAAGTGAATTGGCAACCTGGTTCTCCCGAGGATAAGTGTGTGAAACAATTTTACTATTAAATAAGAAAAGATGTCTGATACGTCTAAGAATGTTATCTAAATCGTCCATAGTCCTCCATCCCAATAATGTAGTGACCGGTCATATATGAGTTTATGTCCACCCAAATGTCTAATAATCCAAGTCATCGAGCAAGTAAAATCTCATCTAAGATAACTTGTAACTTAGCCTCCAAAACAAGTCAGTCTTATATATGACGAGAAGGTCCAAATGGAATGTCCATCTTGGTCTCAAATAATGCCTCACCATCAGTAAATCCATTATTGAAGCATCCATTGACGTTGATCTTATAAGATCTCACCGTTGGAGTTAAAAACCTAGTCTAATATATGAATCAATAAATTGGTAAAATAAATATAAATTTATATGTGATATCATCATATCGATCATTATTTATATAGACCTTTTCTAGAAACAATAATATTAAGGGTAAATTGTCCTTAATCATCATTTTTGTCCAAAAATATTGTTAACGTGCTTTAAAATTAAGGTCAAATATTTAATTACATTTTTCAGTATTATTTATTTTGCTTATTCAAAAAACAATGAACAAATGAATCGTTTTATTCTATTTTAAAGAAAATTTTGAAAAAAAAAATCGTAATTAGAAACAATTTTTGTTAATTTAAGAACAAGAATACGATGAAAAAAGTTTGAAACATAAATATGACAATGTGAAAAAAATTATGAACCTTTCATACAATTAAAATGTAGTCTAGTTGTTAAAATTTGTGATGTGATTGTATTTGACATAATATTAATCTATTAAATAAATTATTTATTTAATAAGTATTATTTTTAACATAAATTATTGTAAACATTTATTACTTTTCACTATCCTTATTTATTTAATAAAATTTCAATCATTAATACCATTGGCAGTTTATGAAATTTTTAAAAATTAATTTGAAGTATATTGATTATTAAATTTAATACATGCTCAACAAATTAAAATCTATGTACATCAAAAGTAAATAATATTTTGTCCTACATAAATTTAAATATAAGTGCAGACTGTGCAGTTCATTCAAAAGGAAATAAATCCAAGGCATCTCAGGCTAATATTTTCTTGAATCAAAACACTGGATCCGAACGTGAATATCTTAGCTGGTTGGTATGGCAACATCCTTCTATGATTATTGCACAGTTTTGAGGACAGGAAAAGCAATAACATCGCGTATGCTGGCCGAATTCGTCAGAAGCATTACTAGCCTGTCAATGCCAAGCCCCTGAAAAAACAAGTTCATACATCAGCCTTTCTTAGTAATACATGTATTGAATGTAGGACTATGCAGAGTAACACCATTTTTAGCTCATACTCGAGTTTGAATTCTAGAATTAATTTATTAAAAGAAGAAACTTGATAAGCATACCATTCCTGATGCGGGAGGCATTCCATATTCTAGGGCTGTCAAAAAATCTTCATCGAGAGCCACGTCGTAGGAGTCATCAGCCCTCTCATTCCCATCCTCTGAAACTACTGCTGCTTTCTTCTTGTTATGCTGCCTTACTTGTTCTTCCAACCGTTCTCTCTGCAACCATTTCAAATTAAGAATATACTCTTACCAGTAATATCTGTGCTTTGTGATTCGTTCTCATTTCTAACAAATCCATGAAATGAAGTGTCCAAGATTTGAATTGACAAGGAAGACAGCAAAAAGCAAGAGCAGAAGAGTATAAGTCAACAATCTCTCTTTTTTACCGAGACAGTTTATGTGGACATCATTTCCAAATAATACAGACGTATTTATCCTAAAACACTAGTCATTTGCAAACATCAACAAGGAAGTAATCAAAAACCCTGGAATGGGAAAAAAGAAAAAAATTCAATGATAGAAGTGCATAGTAGCAGTATAGTCAGCATATTACAATTAACAGCTCCACATAATACCTGGTCCAAAGGATCAGTCAATTCAGAGAAAGCATTAGCCATCTCACGGCCACATATGAAGAGTTCAAATCTCTCTGTCAAGCCTGCATGCCTGCAGTTAAGACACAAAATATTATATTCCCTAGTATTTTGTTGCAATATCCACCAAACAGTAAATAAATAGAAAGAGTTTCTGATTATAAAGCTAGTATTCAAAACAAATCAATCTTCTGCTGAAAATATTTTGTCGTCACAATTTTGTGAAGGAAAATACATTGAAAGCACAGCTTTTCATGTGAAGTGAGGCACCAAAATATATTTTGTAAAGGCAACATCACCTTCTGTGTGGTTTGGCTAGTGGAGATATTTCAATTGGATAGTCCAAGACAAAAGTGGGCTGCATTAGCTTTGGTTCTACAACCATTTCAAACACCTAAAGAATGAATCAAAAGTAATCATTGAGTAGAATTTCATGAATAGAAGCATAGGAAAGAGCAAGAACACTATGAACTATTCTCACAACCAAACATATTTTCCAGCCAGCAAACCACTAGCAGGATAAATAACTATTACTTATCGTAAATAATAGAGGGAAAATAGAGTTCAGATTCTCAGAAAAGTCATCCAGATCAACCTCATTAAGCAAATGGCCAACAGACGTGCAAGCCTCAATCAAATTTTTGTTTTGATTATCATTAACAATATCTGGTGTCTGCAGTGCAACTTTTTTCGCAGCATTAAGATCATCTCGAAAATTGTTGAAATCAATCCCGGTTGCTTCTTTCACAAGCTTGTGCATTGTCTCCCTCCTCCAAGGTCTTTCTAAGCAGATCTCCACACCCTGCAAGGAAGATTTGTAGAATCCACGGCAAAGTTTTTTTAATTTCTTTTTCGACAAATACATAAATCCTAATGATAATTGAAGAATGCAAAGGTTTTTATAACAAGAAATCCTCTAAGAAAACTATGAGAAGTTCAAGAACATGTTTTCCACATGATAAGAATGCAACCACTTTTGACATGGCCAACAATTGTTCCAAATTCCATTATAGGACAAAGTAAAAGTTAACCATATTATTGACAGTATTATGACAGCAGCACCTACTTCTATCTACTCCTGATTTCTGACTCTTTCATGTGTTTGCAAGAGAGTATTGTTAAAATAGTTAACAAATGAATAATTAAAATGAGTGAGAAAACTTGAAATTAAACCATATTTAACCAATTTTTAGACGAAAGAAATTGTTGAAGATATGTTTAGAAACAAATGTAATGGCACAATATGTTCCCTCATCTAAAGAAAAGCATATTCACTTTACTACCTAGGAGAAAAATGGAACAAGAAACGGGGTCAAATATAAAAAGAGCATACCTGATAATCAAGGGTAAGTTTCCCATTAACTGCAAGAGCACATTGTGTTACAATCTCTTCTGTCATATTCATCATGCTTTCATAGTCTGAATATGCTTCATACATCTAAAGATCAAGTGAAGCCATTAATTATTGGTGATAATGGAAATGAAGTTTAGTATAAAAACATAACAGAATCTTGACATGCACTATTGCAGTGAGCAAAAAGCATAGGGATGCTTTCAACACAAAAGACCAAAGAAAACTGGAGGAACCTCATCACCTCGATGGTGGTGAATTCAGGATTATGACGAGTTGAAATGCCTTCATTTCTGAATATCCGGCCTATCTCATATACTTTCTCAAAGCCTCCAACCTGTCATTTCAAATAAAATATCATATTTGTTACATGAAACAGCAAAGTGATTTTAACAAAAGACGATAATACACAAAACAAACAAAAACTAGGCTTCAAATAATGGCTCGAGAATTAAAATAAATAAATAAAAAATAGTTAGCATATTAACAAATATTGGCAACTGAGGTAGGAGGATTAAATAGCCAGAAAGCATGCAGCTCTGGGTATGCATCCAAAACAAAACAAAATAAGGAACCGATAATTAAATTAGAAGACTATGGCAATAAACAAAATGTCAATATCTTTCACATAAAATTTAAGGTGTAAATCTAGTGAAGAAGAACGATGTTAACATATTAACAAGACGAGAGAAGCTAACAGATGGGAAGAATGGAAATAACAAGCCAGCAGAATATTGATATCTTTCCTGAATGAACTAAAATGCAAAGACTGACCACCATGTGTATGGGAAATCTTGATCTAGAAGAAAATCCCCTTGAAAATCATTCTTTATGTCAATCAAATTATGATTTCAAGAATCAAGTCATAACTGTTAAGCCATTTTGGAAGATAGCAACATGAACTATCTGCTATTGTATAACAAAAGGAAGACAACGAGCACAAAATGGCAGGAGAAATAGAACTCACCAGCATTCTCTTCAAATGGAGCTCAGTTGCGATTCGCAGATAAAGATCTTGACCAAGAGAATTATGGTATGTAATGAATGGCCTGGCTTCAGCCCCACCAGCTGCTCCCTAGTTTAGGAAAACAATCAAAAACTAAAATATGGAACCATCTATGGATGTGTTCATTATGCTTACTGATGTGCCAATTATTTTTCTCATCTTTTTGGAGCAGTAGGGGTGTGAGGGGAAGGGAAAAATAGAAAAAGTGTACATAAGTTTGATATATTTCTTAGACAAAAAATATCATGGAGTTCTGAAAGACTTGCAGAATTTTGAGGAAAGTTGGACGTATTACTTTTGAACAATAGTAGTTGCAAATGTTTTTTGGGAAGGATGTACAGGAGAAGAAAATCAGCAGTGGAGTACGATTCTAAAGGGATTTCATCTTGGCTGGCAGTAGAGAGTCAATAAAAACTTGAACATAATTATGTTGTAAACCATGCAACCTAATGTCATTGCAAGAATATACTATCGTTGGCTCGTATCAGACATTAGATGTATCAGGATGAAAAGATTTTTCCTCATACCCGACACAAATACTTGGTCTAATTTATCTAGCTATATCATGGTAGAAGGATACCAACAAATTATTTAATTCAAGAATTAAAAAAAAGAGTCTTGACAACCTGAAGAACTGGTGTTTCAACTTCAACAAAGCCTGCAGATTCAACTGTCTTGCGAATCTCTGATATAATCTACAGAAAGTAAGTATAAATCAGCACAAAAATTTGGTACTAAAGTATATATAATAAGCTATAGATGACTTCAATTAGCTTTCTACTATAATAATAATAATAATAATGGAAAACGGACCTTTGCTCTTTTTCTAAACGTGTCGGCCACCTCAGGATTTGCAATCATATCTACATACCTTTACAAAGAAAGGAGAAAGTATGGATTGAGAAAAGTGTATAGAGTACTGATGTGGTGATATGATAACGAGTAAAAGTGAAAAACTAAAAGTGGTAGCAGCTAAATGCACGTGATATAAATCATGAGTAGGGTTGTTATTGATGTAAAAGTTTGCACCCTTGAGGTGCACTGTTTATACACAAAGTGAGAGAAGGACTTTATGTTATCTTTGTCCCAAACAATATGAGAGAAACTATTATGTTGGTGTTACATTACTTTGAGAGAAGGACTTTATGTTATCTTTGTCCCAAACAATATGAGAGAAACTATTATGTTGGTGTTACATTACTTTGTAACGAAATATGACAGAAAAACCCACAACGAATAACCATTTACTGGAATGGAGATTAAAAAATACTGTTGTAAAGATGATATCCAAAAAAAGCTGGATTAGCTGGAGAGTGGAGACAATGCAAAAACTGGTCAATGTAGGTGTATCTATAATAATATGCACCCAAGTGCACATGGATTGTGTGTGTGTGTGGGTGTGTGTAGAGAGAGAGAGAGAGAGGATCTCACCTTTGGCGATATCTCTTATCTATGTCTGTTAGGCCATGATATTTGTCCGGCAAAGGAAGCAATGATTTTGTAAGGATTGAAAATGAATTCACACAAACAGATAATTCTCCTGGGAAAAAAATAAATAAATAAAAGCAAGAAAAAGATCTAATTAAAGGATACACAAATTTATTGCACAATTTCTAACGGCTATGTTCAGAATCAGTATGCTCAATGCAACTATTTTCCAGGATTTATAAGATATAAGCAAGCAACAGTTAAATGAAACTTACCTTTCTCTGTGCGCTTGATTGAACCTCTTGCACCCAATATATCTCCTATATCAACAAGTGTTTTCAATTGCTCAAATTGATCACTTAGAAGCCTTTCCTTCTCACAGTAAAGCTAAAATCCCACAAGGAAAAAAAATCAGCATATTGCCACAGAAAAGTTCTATACACAAACCACAACTTTGGAAAGTAAAGAATCCGAGAAAAAAAAAAAGAAAAGGAACAAACTAGGCCTTATCCCCAATAAATTTGAGGCCCACCATATAAATCCCTTTTCGCCACTCAAGAACAAGATTCAGTTACCTGAACTATACAAGTATAATGTCCAAAATCTAATTTATAAGGAAATATCCTCAATAATTGTACACTAACAAACTCATGTAGATCAACTCCAGTTGGATTAGGACATTGTACAAGCATATTTTATTTAGTAATGTTAGAAAGTAAAATAAGCAGAAGGCAGTTCATGAACACATTAATATTCAAAGTTCTTCTCAGAAGTCATTTACAAAGTCAATCCACCCCCTGACATCTGACAACCATAGTTTGGGTCTAAGAAACTATCATCTCATGGAATGATGAAATCATAAGCTACTGGAAAACATGGGTGGAAAGACTCAAATGGTCAAACGGAGGAAGCACACATGCAAAAAAAGATGTAAGAAACCTGAATTGTCCCAGAGTCATCCCTCAAAGTTATGAAGGCTAGCTTTCCGAAAGCCCTGCGAGCCACAATTCTTCCAGCAATTGAGACATAATCACTCTCACTGTTTGATTCTTCACCATTTCCTATATTCCTATAAATATCTTGCAGCTGATTTGCAGTATGGGTGCGATCCCAATTATAAGCATATGGATCTAAGCCGTTGCTCCTCAACTCTTGCACCTATAGGTAAGAAAATCCGTTAAGACTAATACATAATGTTCAAAGTTTCTTCATTTTCCAAGGATTTATTCAGGACAATAATTCATATATAGATTTTCAATAAGCTTTGATCTAGCTTCAAAATTAGAACATTCTTCTGAGAGCAAAATTAGATTCCAATTAAATTTGTTAATTTGAGCTGTGTTAGTTGATTAACTAAAATCTATCTTTAAGTGGCTTGGTTAGAACAATGGGAGCTTATATGAGCCTTATTTGAAATGGTTTTAGAGTTTCTTTTCAGATGGCTCATTATCAAATCCTTGTGAGGCCTCGTTCCCAGTCAACACTAAGTGGTCACTTCCATGTTATAGGACACATTAACACATTTACAAATTTCCTCACTAAGTTGTTACCTTCTTATCACTAGTCATATCAGCAAGTGGTCACCCTTGTATTACCAACCCGTTAGTTGAAAATATCTTGAGAAGAGCTCCTGAACCCAGGTCAGGCTTGAGTGAGTGTTAAGGAACTTTATCCCACATTGACTGATTTGTTGTCTAACGGTTACTGCAAGTCTAATCTAGCAAAGGTTGGAAACCTCCACCCTTATATCTGAGCCTATTTCGACATGCTCGAATGCAAAGGTCAGTCAACGCCATCAAGAAAGCATATTGCCTTAATTTGTATCCTCCATTTCTAAATCTCTTTCACAACATAACAAAATCCTGACCAAGATAAAAATTTCAGTCCTAATCGCAATCTCAGGTTCAACAACATTCGCATTGGTCTTGACTTTTGAGATTAAGAAAGCAACGAAAACCCAAAGCAACATTGAAATTGAGTACTATATATCGGTAGTTTAAAAGCACTGGAAAAGAAAAAGTTTAAACCTTTTTTATACGGATAGCGCGAACGGCCTCTCTGTCGGAGGTGGAATTGGTAGAGGACGAGGAAGACCTGCGGTTGCGGCCGGATTGTCTGGGAGCGCCGCCATCAACGGTGGCGGCAGAGGAAGAAGGAGAAGAAGTAGAGCAGCATCTAATTACGAAGAATGGGCGAATATTACGAATAAGAAAAGGGTTGTTTGCTTTGGAAGAAGCAAAGAGGAGTAGTTGCTTTAGCTTCAATGGCTGCAGCACCACCTCCATTTTTCCTCTGTTTCTTTTGTTTGCTGTTATCCAATCCCAGCTTCTGAACGAAACGCTTACGTTCATCACTGGGTTGGGCCGCTTATCATTTTTGGATTGTCGGCCCATACCTTGTTTGGGCTTTTATCATTGGACAACTTACACAAATAGTCCTATATCTTTTGAAAAATCATATAAAAAGTGTTTTGAAAATAAAAAATACTTAGTAAAGTTAAGGGCGTGTTTGAGCCATATTATTATGGAAGAATGTATTTTGGAATAGTAGATTGATGGAGAATGCGTGGTTAAAAAAGAAGGAAAAATTATTGATGTGATGAAACATATTATTTTATTGAAAAATGTGTGGTTAAAAATGAGGAGAAGAATGGGAATGAAAATTTTAACGTGGCTCAAATAGGGGCTATGTGTCACTTTTTAGTTAAAAAAATGATACAAATAAAAAAAAAAAGTGAAAATGTCACTTTTATTAAAAATTGATGTGGGTAACTCAAAAAAGTGATAAATTCAAAAAAAAAAAGTGACAAACAATAAAAGAAGTAACAAAAAAGTGAAATACTAAAAAAGTTACAGAAATTCAAAAAACGTGACAAACACTCAAAAAGTACTAAAAATTCAAAAAAATGACAAAAAATTTTAAAAGTACATTGACAAGACAAGACACATACACTTTTTACAAAAGTCACATCAATCATTCGTATGGGGATCTTCATCATAATAAAATCCTTGCACGATGGCCGTCGCGAGCTGGGAACCTGTACCTAGGCCTCAGCTGATAGCAGAATCTCAGATTTAAGAGGTGTCTTAGAAGTAATTAGGCCTCTGCTGATGCAGACCTTGGATAAGAGGCCTCGGCCTATACAGAAGCAGGGCCTAGGTTAGGGTGGTTGGTCCGGATCAGGTCCCACATATTAATCCTGGTGACCACGTGGCGTCCCTAGAGACGAGTCGTAACAATAGTCCCATAAATCCATGTGTGATTATTTATGGCTTGCATGGACTTCGGGAATTAAGTGCCGAAAATTTTGTAAGTATAATTTTGTATCCACTATACGAGTCCCCCAAGTCCAGGTGTGATTATTTATGTCATGCGTGGAGTTTAAAAAGTGATAGAAACCCGGCTTACTGAAATGCTTATTGAAGCTGATGCGAGTCCATAGTTGAACTGGCCGAGGCTAAAATGATTATTGAAGTTGAGGCGAGTCCATAGTTGAACTGGCCGAGGCTGAAATGCTTTTTGAAGCTGAAATTCTTTTGAAGCTTACGCGAGTCCATAGTTGAACTGGCCGAGGTTGAAATGCTTATTGAAGCTGAAATTCTTTTTGAAGTTGAGGCGAGTCCATAGTTGAACTACCCGGGGCTGAAATGCTTATTGATGCTAAAATTCTTTTTGAAGCTGAGACGAGTCCATAGTTGAACTGGCCGAGGCTCAAATGCTTATTGAAGCTAAAATTCTTTTTGAAGCCGAGGCAAGTCCATAGTTGAACTGGTCTAGGCTTAAATGCTTATTGAAGGTAATGAAGCCCAATGTCGAAGCTGAATCGTGAAGTCACTATAATAGGTATTAATGCACTATGGTGGAGAAAACAAAGTTGGAGCTTGCTGACCACAAAAATGGGAGCCAGTTTATGGAGGATCAAATTCGATGGTATTGCAAGGAGGTAAAGATCTTGGAGGCTGAGGCATCAGCAGGCTGGTGAAGTAGCGGTGAAGAACTACATAGCCAACTTTCACCTAACTGAGGAGTACCAACGCTTCGCCATTTATTGGAGGATGTACGCATACAACGAGATGATAGATAGGGTCGAGGTACTCTACCCTAAACTCGATACTTCGACTTAAGGGGAGAATTCATTGAAGAAGAAGTGCCCCAAACCCCTGCAGAAGAAGTTGTTGAGGAAGTGCCCCAGACCCCTGCAGAAGAACCTACTGAAGGAGCTTCAGAAGTGGTAATGGATGCACCTATCATCGATGCTCAAGCTTCTCCACCTCCTCAGCAGTAGTGTAGAATGAATTAAGTTTTGTAATGCCTTTGGGCCTCCTATATGTCTATTTTTTATTTAATGAATGAAATTTCATTTCTTTACTTCCCCATTGTTAAATAGTGTTTTATCGTTCTTCTTCGAAGTCAATAGACTTGAATGAACAAATTAACCATTGAACTTGAATGAACTTAACTAACATAATCACTGAAATTCCATCTGTTTGTACTTCGACTTCTAGGTAAACTGATATGTTTAAATATCTGTGTTAAAGTTTCTCCCTTGACGTTCAACCTCGTCTAATGAGGCATGTGATGTACGCCTTGAAGTTTGAACGAGCTTCCGAAATGCCCACGCTTCTTGCATGGTGGATGGTTCATCCATGCAAAGGCTTTCTCCTTAACGTTCAGCTTCGTCAATAGGAAGGCATATGTTGTATGCCTCGGAGTTTGAACGAGGTTGTCCCTTTGGGGACTGGATCCTCTCCTCTGAAGCACCCAGACAATATTTCCTTAAACACATATTTTATTTATTTACGAAGGCTGGGAAAAACTTCTAGTCGTGGGATACATTCATTGGTAATACATTCGTAAATGTTCAATGTTCCATGGGTGGGGTTGAACCTTTCCATCCATATCTTTAATCCAGTATGTACCAGGTCAGATCTCTTTTTCGATAGGTAAGGTCCCTCCTAATTTGGTCTCAAGGTGCCTACTCCTGGTTCTTTAGAAGACAAGAACAGCTTTCGAAGCACCAAGTCATTTACCCGGAAGGACCTTTTCTTCAACTTGGTGTTGTAGTACCGGGTCATCTTCCTTTGGTAGGCTATCATCTCACCTGGGAGTCATCCCTCTTTTCTTCTAGGAAGTCAAGCTCACACCTTCTGAGTTCATCGTTTGATATCTCATTGAAACTCAACCTTCTAGGGAAAGGCAATCCTACCTCTACGGGACTCATGGCCTCGGCATCGTAGGTTATGGAGAATGAAGTCTCTCCAGTCGGTGTCCTGCTTGTAGTTCGAATTGCCCACAAAACTTGGGACAATTCATCCACCCATGTCCCTTTAGCTGTGTCGAGTTTCCTATTCAGAGTGTGCTTTATGGTTTTGTTCACAGCTTCGACCCGTCCGTTTGCTTGGGGATGATGAGGAGTGGAGAAGTGCTTCTTAATTCCCAGCTCCTCTCAAAGATCTCTCACTTTTTTGTTGACAAATTGCTTCCCATTGTCCGAGACAATTGAGTGGGGAATACCAAACCTGCATATTATATTTTTCCATAATAATTTGAAAGTATTAGCTTCAGTAATATTTGCCAACGGTTCAGCCTCACTCACTTTGTGAAGTAATCAATTGCAACAATGTCAAAATTTGTATTTCCTCTGCCCCTCGGTAAGGGGCCAATGAGGTCCACACCCCACTTGCTGAAAGGCCAAGGGCTGGACACGGGGGTTAATTCTTGGGAGGGTTGTCTTTGGACATGGGAGAAACGTTGGCACTTATCACATCTTCGAGCAAATTGGAGGCATCCTTCTTCAAAGTGGGCCAATAATATCCCTGTCTCAATACTTTCTTAGCCAAGGCAAGCCCTCCTGAATGATTACCACAAACGCTTTCGTGGATCTCACGAAGTATATAGTTGGCTTCCTCTCCTCCTATGCATAGAAGAAGGGGTGAGGAGAACCCTTGCTTGTAAAGAGTGTTATATACTAGTATGAAATAAGCGGATCTCCTCCTCAGTTTATAGGCCTCCTCTTTGTTCTCCGGCAAAATTTGATCTTTGAGATAGGATATGAGGGGCCGTATCCAAGTTGGGGTCCCTTCCACCCACATGGTTAAATCTGCCGAGGTGGATGGCCCCAAGAGGTGCTCGATTGGTAGCACAGTCAATAACTCATAATCTTTGCTACTGGCCAACTTGGAAAGTGCATCGGCGTGAGCATTTTCCAGGCGTGGGATTTGAGTTAATTCGAACTTCTCGAAAAAGGGGATTAGATTCATTACCAATTTGAGGTAAGCTGCCATGGCTTTATCCCTGGCCACAAAATTGTCATTCACTTGTCCTACAATAAGTTAGGAATCACTATTGATATGAAGCCTCTTTACTTGCATTTCATTGGCCAGTTTCAGGCCGAGGAGGAAGGCCTCATATTCAGTTGCGTTGTTGGTGGCTTTGAATCCGAACCACACAGCGCTGTTCAACTTATGACCTTCTGGGCTCACCAATACTACGCCTGGCCCTGAGCCTGTTTCTCCAGCCAAGCCATCCACAAATAGGTTCCAGGTGGGGGGCTCGGCAGGTTCCATAACCTCGTCCATTTCAGGGACATTAGCAAATTCTGCCACAAAATCTGCTATGGCCTGGCCTTTGATGGCTAGAACACTCCACTGCCCACTTCAACAACCTACCCGATGCATCAAGTTTTTGCAACACTTGTCTAAGCGAAAAGTTGGTCAACACATGAACTGTATGAGCTTGAAAGTAGGGCCTCAACTTGCTGGATGCAGTTATCAATGCTAAGGCCAATTTCTCCATACCCGGATAATGTGTCTCAGGGGGTAGCAATGCCTTACTAATATAGTAGACTGGTAGTTGGGTTGAGCCCTCTTTGGTAGTTGGGTTGAGCCCTCTTCTCTTATAAGCACAGCACTTATGGCATCCTGAGAGACAGCCAAGTAAAGTTGCAGGACCTTACCAAGCTTGGGCTTTGATAGGTGGGGGGCCTGCCCTTGGTACCTTTTTAATTCCTGGAAGGCCGCTTCATGCTCCTCAATCCATTGGAACTTCTTGCCTCCCTTCAACACCTTAAAGAATGGGATGCACATGTCAATAGCCTTTGATATGAAGCGACTTAAAGCGACTACCCGGTCGGTCAAACTTTGTACGTCTTTCGGTTTCTGTGGGAACCTCATCTCGACCAATGCTTGTATTTTCTAAGGATTGGCTTCTATACCCCTTTGGTTGACCATGTATCCTAGAAACCTGCCCGAAGCAACTCCAAATGCACATTTGAGGGGATTCAATT